GCCATGTTCAGAAAGCAGAAACTGGACCCCTTCCTGACACATTACACTAAAATTAACTCCAGATGGATTAAAGACTTAAACATAAGACCTAATGCCATAAAAACCCTAGAAGAAAACGTAGGCAAAACCATACAGGACATAGGCATAGGCAAGAACTTCATGACTGAAACACCAAAAGCATTGGCAACAAAAGCCAAAACAGACAAATAGGACCTAATTAAACTCCAGCGATTCTGTACAGCAAAAGAAACAATCATTCGAGTGAACCGGCAATCAAAAGAATGGGAAAAAGTTTTTGCAATCTACTCATCGGAAAAACAGCTAATATCCAGAATCTACAAAGAACTAAAACAGATTTTCAAGAAGAAAACCCATCCAAAAGTGGGTGAAAGATATGAACAGACACTTTTCAAAAGAAGACATATGTGAGGCCAACAAACATATGAAAAAATGTTGATCATCACTGATTATTAGAGAAATGCAAATCAAAACCACATTGAGATACCATCTCACACCAGCTAGAATGGCAATCATTAAAAAATCTGGAGACAATAGATGCTGGAGAGGATATGGAGGAGAAACAGGAAAACTTTTACACTGTTGGTGGGAGTGTAAACTAGTTCAACCATTGTGGAATACAGTGTGGTGCTTCCTCAAGGATCTAGAAATAGAAATTCCATTTGACCCAGCAATCCCATTACTGAGTATATACCCAGTGGATTATAAATCATTCTATTATAAAGACAGATGCACACATATGTTCATAGTGGCACTGTTTACAATAGCAAAGACCTGGAACCAACCAAATGCCCATAGACAACAGCCTGGACAAGGAAAATGTGGCACATATACACCATGGAATACTATGCAGCCATAAAAGTGATGAGTATGTCCTTTGTAGGGACATGGGTGAATCTGGAAACCATCATTCTCAGCAAACTGACAGAAGAACAGAAAATCAAACACTGCATGTTCTCACTCATAGGCGGGTGTGGAACAATGAGAACACATGGACACAGGGAGGGGAGCATCACACACTGGGGTCTATTGGCAAGGGCCAAGAGAGGGGCAGCAGTAGGGTAGGGAGGTCAGGGAGGGATAACATGGGGAGAAATGCCAGATGTAGGTGACGGGGGGATGGAGGTAGCAAACCACATTGCCATGTGTGTACTATGCAACAATCCTGCATGATCTGCACATGTACCACAGAACCTAAAGTACAATAATAATAAAAAAGCAACAGGCTGCATTGTTCATGAGATGTATTGACAAATCTCAGTATTTATGGAATGAAGGAAGAGAGAGAATGCTGAAGTCATCAAAGATATGATGAGACTGAGACATGCATGACTTGTTGAAAACTAAAAGATGTGAGAGTTTTTACACAAAGGCAAGTGAGGTAGCCAGAATTCTAAGATGACTGACCTCCAATGACCCTGGCCTTCTATAATCCCCTTCCCTTGAGTATAAGCAGGACCTGAGAATCACTGCTGTGATTATGTTAACCTGGCAAATGTGAAGTGATTCTGCATATGTAATTGAGGTACCCCATCAGCTGATTTCAAAGCAGATTATCCTGGGTGAGCCTAATTTAATCAGGTGAACCCTTAAAAGAGGATTTAGGCCTTCCTTGAATTAAGAGAGGCAAAGCAGTAGACTCTCTCTTTCTTCTGACACTTTTGAAAAGGTAAAGAGCCATATTGTGAACTGCCTATGGAGAGACACAATCTTCCTACAAATGCAAGGGAACAAATTCTGTCAAGAATCTGAATGAGCTTGGAAGAGGATCCTGAGCTAGATATGAGAATGTAGCCTGGCTGGTACCTTGATTGTTACCTTAAGCATAAGAGCCAGCTAAGCAATGCCTGGACTCCTGACCCATGGAAACACGAGATAATATGTGTTGTTTAAATCACTACATTTGTTGTCATTTGTTACGCAGCAATAGAAGTTTCTTTCATTAAGCAAGTTCCCAGCTTTTCTAAGAGTAAAGAAGACAGGATTTAATCTTTGGGTTGTCAGGGCCTGGGCACATGCGTTATATAGAGTGGCTGTATTTTCAGCTAAGGTCATCAAAGTAGAAATTTAGTAATACAATATATATTAGAACAAAGAGGAGGTAGGAGAAAATGTAATTAAATTGTTAAGAGGATCTCGTCTTCATCTAGGATATTCCAGATACTGAGGCTGAGACAGCAGGCAGGCTAATTCCAGACACCACTAGTTAGGACGTATGAGGCCAATATACTGCTTTACTCAGCTCTGGTTACCCAGACTATAAGCCACTTGATGGCAGATATCATGCCTATCTTATTCATCCAGTCTGTATCCTCAGCTCTCAGCCAGTACCTGGCACAGCTTAAGCATTTATTGAATGAATGAATAAATGACTTGTTTTCATCCTGGGCAAGATGAAGCAGCAGTTCAATACATCTAAAATTTTATGAGGAAAAATTAGTACAAATCAGCAACACTTCATGATTCCTCAAAAATATCCAACTTAACTCATAGTTAAAGTACAGATAATTTGAGATGTTACAACAGAGGCAGTGATCTATCTAGTCATCGTTCAGCTAACTACAAAATAGCGAATGAGTGCCCACTATGTGGCAGATGTGAGAAAATGACTCTTGTAACTGATGTCCCTGAACTCACTCATTCTAGCTGTTCTCTTAGCCAATCTCCACACATTAGCCACAGTAGTTAATATCTTAATAAGACAAATCATCTTATATTATTCCACTATTCAAAACCTTTTAATGATTTTTCATTACACTGAGGATAAAATCCAAACCTTAATTTAGCTGTCCAGAATCTGGGTTCTAGCCCATCTCCAGCTTTACTCCTGCCATGAACCTTATTCCCTCAGAGCATTCATGCATGTTACAGCCCCTGCCTACAGCATTGTCTACCACCTGCTCATTGTTCAGATCTCTCAATGTAAGTGACTTCCGTACAGTATTTATCATACAGCTTATAGTTATAGGATTACTTTTTAATATCCAACTCTATCATTATACTGGAAACTCCATGAGGTCAGGGATTGTGTCTACTTTGCTTAGAGAAACATTACCAGTACTAAGAATACCTTATCCAAAATTCTTGAGAGAATAAGTGTTTGGATTTCATACATATCTTTTAATTTTTGGAATATGTACATTATACTTACTGGTTCACCATCCCTAGTGTAAAAATCTAAAATCCAAAAATGTTCCTTTGAGCATCATGTTGGCACTCAAAAAGTTTCAGATTTTGGAGCATTTCAGATTTGGGATGCTCAACCTGTATACACATTTTTGTTGAATCGATAAAGTCCTAGGAGACTACTCAATCACAAAGGATGAAAGCTATTGCTACCACCAGTCAGAACACAGAGCACCTGTTAGGAACATGATGTGACTCTAGAACACAATTCCTAACCTCAGTGGACTACAAAGAGAGGCAAGCAACCAAGGAAACTAACATGTCTGCCCACTCTACCACCCCATCAAAAAATACAACAAAATAAACCCTGAACAACACCAAAACCAAAGTAGTTCTGTTCCTATTTTTTAAATATTGATATGATAAGACTGAGAGAAACATGACTTGTTGAAAACTAAAGGATGAGTTTTTACAAAAAGGCAAGTGAGGTGGCCAGAATTCTACGATGACTGACCTCCAATGACCCATGGCCTCCTATAATCCCTTTCCCCTGAGTATAGGCAGGACTTGAGAATATGATGGAATAGTACTGCTGTGATTGTTATTTGGCAAATGTGCATTTTAAAATTTCAAATTTTAAAACTCTTAAGAATTCTACTGTTAAGAAAACAAAGGTTTTAAAAATCACTGATTTAAAATCCTTTATTATCTGGCTCCTGCCTTCTTCTGCAGCTCAATGACCATACCTACATCCCCCCATCCACTCTGTCCAAACAAATCTACATTCTGGCCTTGGAGAATGACTTCCTCCAACTCAACTTGCTTTTTTTTTTTTCTTTTCTTTTTTTGCCACTGGGCATTTGTTCATGTTCCCCTTGCAGGAATCCTGCTTGTCTCTGTGTAGCCATCCCTTCCTCTCAGAGGTGGCACTAGCATTCCCATATGGGAAGGTTTAGGGTGACACTCTTGAGGGTGCACATGCTGGATATTTGACTTCCATGTGTATTCCCATAGAAAACATAGACTGTTACTTTGTGTCATTTGGTATGATTTAGAAGACTGAGGGAGATTATTAGGCACTAAAATTTCCTAATTCCCTCCTTGGTGCTGAGGCTGCTTCTACAAAAAAGTTTGCTTGACACCACTAGAAGAGACTAGGTACCCCACACTCTTTTGTGTTTACCTGTGTTCAAGAATTTATACTATATTAGGATTGTCTGTCCACCTATCTTTCCTACTAGCCTATAAGCAGGCTGAGAGATGACTGTCTTCTCACGATTGTAGTCCAGAAATCCAGCAAAGTGCCTGGAATGTGGTAGATGTTCATCAATATTTTTTTGACTGAATCAAGCACTTCATGAAACCCTATTATGTGCAAATTACCATATCAGATGTTCAGAATGAGGAGCAGAGATACCACCTAGTTAAAAATATGAAATGTAAAATATTTTTTAAAGCTTCAAATAAACAAAACATTAGCAAATATGGAAGATAGTAAGTATTAGAAACTTCTACTAACCAACATTCCTACACATCTAAATTTCTAAGTAGAATACCTTATATAGCACCAAAGAAGTACTAAATACATTACAATATATTTTCGTATGGTGTAAATTTTACTGAATAGAGTGCTTAGTGTTGTTAAGAGAGTATGTGAAAAATCACTCATTACCGGAATACTCAATTTCTTCTAGCTACTCTCAGGATCCAAAATAAAGGAATGATCCAGATCGGAGGACTACACCAACCTAAACCTCACACCTCACAGGCAGTTATAGATGTGATTTTTAAAATTTTAAAGGAGAAGAAGTACGTCCTTGAAGAGGAAAGATGATGCACTAAGACAAGATGTGGGAACAGACACAGACTGTGTAAGAAGAATGAATGTTACCATGAGGAGACTGGCACGAAAGAAAAAAAGTAAGATTTGGAGAACTCTAAATTTTACACTGAGTTTACTTTAGATTTCATAAACAACTGGGGGACTGTAAGTCCTAGCCTGCGGATCGAAAACATACAAATATTGCTTAAATAAATCGTTGGCACATTGTAGGTCCTCAAATGTCTGCTGAATAAATAAGTTCGTAACTAAATGTATTTGAGCAGTGCAAGACTGAGACATGGTTCCCAGCGTGGATGCTGATGTAGTAAACCAGGTATAAAAAGATGACAGCCAGGGACAAGGGTACCAGCTGTAGAACTGGACAATAATGGTTTTGTAAATATTCTAACAGCCCAAGTTTTTACACTGACACTCATTTCTTTAATCAGAGCAATGCTACCAATAAAAACTTTGGGGGCTTTTATGGTATAATCAAGATGTTTGATGAAAGGATTTAATTTGGTAAATACCTGCCCATTTTATTAAGTTGTTAGATTAAATACAAAATGTGCAATTGAATTCATTTCTTCTATGCATTTCTGTTTTTCTCTCTGGTGGTCTGAAACAAGACTTAGGTACATTGTAATATCTTCTACTTTATAAGGCACTTTGATATCTTTAGTCAAATGGCATATTTTAAAACTTGCTTCAATGACTAATAGGAAAAATGACTAAAGAGTTAATTGAGGATTCACATTCCATATTTTACACAAAAACCTACATAATAGTCTTGTACCATACTGATTAAAACGGAAGACCAGAAATGCTGTCTTCCATTTTAATCATTTGGTTCAAGACCATTATGTAGGTAATTGTGAGCTTATGACAAGACTAGAAAATATATATCAGCACAACATCATCTGAAGGTAAGAAAAAAATTAGTATTTTGTTACACTTTGCATTATAGTAGTAAAATATAAAAAATAAAAATGCTTAACATTTAATTATACCAATTTTAGGTCAGAAGTCTATAGCACACAAAAGAAATTAGGAGCCCGCTTATAAATATACTTAGAACTACATTGTCTTCCCTAAAATATAAATTATTAAATCATAATCAGAACACCAAAAACAGTCATGATAGTCTTTGTAACTACATGTTAGTATCAAACAGTACTTCATATTTGAAATCCGAAAAAAAAAAATCACTTCTTAGATAATCACACTTCTATACTGGGCATAACTGTAAATGAGAACATAATTTCAAATATTTCAACCATTTTTATACTAGCAAAAATTAATAAGATATTAGTATTTACATCTAAGACTATTAAAAATAATTACAGTCTCAATTTTTAACAATTAGATATCTCATGTTCTAATGCCCTCTTAAATTTTTGGATGTCAACCTGAACAGCTCTTAAAACACTGGAGAAATTCTGGGTAACTTTTTTGTTATTGTTTAGAATGAAAGAGAAATCAACCATTTTTGCCAACTATCAACTATAAAGGATTATGAAACAAAATAACCAATCAATATCAGTGTTTCTAGATTACCCTTTAGAAGGCAAAAAAGGCAACAAATATCTCACATACAAATTTTTGCTTTCAAATGAAATTTTCCCTTTATATATTTAGAACAATCCTCTCAAACTGTATTTATAAAACTGATAAAGGTATGTTAAAGTAGAGCAAATGATAAAAGTCTATGTATGTCAGAAATCAATGACATAAATTAAAAATATCTGGTGAGTCCAATAAGATGTTATTTTTTTAATTATAATTTTTTCCAAATATAGAAGAATCCTTTACTTGAGAAAAGTTAGAAAATGAAGATGATCAAAAAGACTTTAAAATACATGTGATCCCACCACCCATAGATAATGGCTTCTCCCAAAAACCTTACCTCTTTGATACACAGGATCAAAGAGCTATTTTTCTATACTAGTAATTAGCAGTAATAGTAGTAGTAGTAATAGTTGTAGCAGCGTCAACAGCAGCAGCCAGAATTCTTAGGGTAAAGGGACTATGTATATTTATGGCACTGTACTGTCTGCACAGAAATCCTGTTCTCTCTCTCTTGAACAGTTAATTCTATTGAAAACACAGACTTTGTATTCCAAAGGAAAACCTTAAGGCATGGCATTCCGCCATCAGCAGTGCCCAGCAGATCAAAGTTCTTTGCAAAGTAAGGAAGATGGAGGTGGGCAAAGTGGATTGTAAAATGATTTTGAACAAGAAACAATGTAAAACTGATAAAACAGGACTGAATGAAATCTATGATTCCTGGTTCTCAACAACCTTGTGTGAATGAGTCTGATCCCTTCATGTTAAGTTTCAGTTTCAATCTTTTATCAATTTGTGTGCTTTAATATATCAAAAATCTGGTTTGCAATGTTATGTATAACCAAGTGAGGACTAAATTTTACTTTGCTGAGGGTATCTGCGAAACAGAAAGAAGACAGTTATCACAGGTAAAGGGCTTAGTAGAAATATCATGAAATGTCCACTATGATGCTACACAGGACAGGATATCATGATCAGGCATTCTATAATGAGTTATCACAGGCAGACATGTGAAAATATCAACACATAACCTCTAAAATCACTGAGTCATCAATGCAGACATAGAATTAGAGATTTTGCCTTAGTTAAGAAATAATTTCATAACTAAAATTAGAACTATAAACATTTGCATGTAGTAGCCCCTCTAATTTTCAAACATATTTTAAAGTATTTGTTTTTATAGGAGCTAAATAGTATAGTGATGTATTTGATATGCTCCAATTAATCTTTTAACAAAACAACAAAGGTAAAGAGAAAACACTTGACAATCTCATGAGGACAACTTTATACAAACTATAATCCAGTGTATAAATACAAACCAAAAATTTTGGCAAACGCCACAATTCATTTAATTTTTTTCATTAAATTAGTACCTTTTTAGTAGAGATATTATTACCAGTTGAGAAGATATATAAACCTTTTTTGTTTAAGAATTTCAAGTTAATTGCTATGAAATTATAAAAATGTTGTCTAGAAACAAAATTGAATTGTAATAAATTTCAGTCTCAAAGACAAAGACTGTATCTATATTCCTAATAGTCATGATTGTTTACAAGTAGCCTTATTTAGAGATCATTTTTTTCTCTTTCAAACGTTTTGCCCTGAAGAAAAACCACTAAATGCCTCTCAGTGGACTCTGCTATCAGTGAGCTCACCAGCCTGTTATCAGATACTACTTATTTTTCCTATTTGTCCTTTTCCTTTCTTTTGACAAATCAGTTCAGTCCCTTTGCCCAACAGGTTTTGCTTTCTATTTCTACACCACTACCAGTATTTTTCTACCTCTCTAGCTGCAATGACACATTCCCTTCCTTTTTCACTGAAGATTGTCAAAAGCAGTTTCTCCCCTCATCTACACAATACCTAAAATTCTACCTCCTGTGAAAAGTTTTCATAAAGAAAAAAATGCATTTTTTGCTAGACTATTCTGGCAGACACAGGGCTTATTACCTATGAGGCCCAAAATGCGCTTACCACTTTATCAGTACAAGCTTTGATTTATGCTACTTGTTTAGTTGCTTGCAGATCTTTCTACATGTCTTTATTGTTGTATGTTTTAAGCATCTGGTGAACAGATATTGTATTTACTTTACTTCATTTTTACAGTTAATACCTTGTAACAACATCATGCAAATCAGATGCAGAATTAATGCTTCTAATGCTTATTTTCTATATAGTCTAAGTATATAATCAATCTTGTGATTTTGGATTAAAATAAATGAAATAAAATCATTTTTTCCATAGATTCTATGGCATTTAAAAATTCCTAATCTTTAAACATTGTCAAACGAGCAACTGCAGGGTAAGTTAGCTGGCTTTAAATAGGGCCTCGCTCTTTCAGTTATATTTCCAGGACACAGGAGGGTTTTACTACCTTTGCTGGACTGATAGCAATACTCCCTGCTTAAACCTTTAGCCAGATACTTTCTGATATGTGTTGGTATTCTTTACACATGCAGGAGAAACTTTCTGAAAGGCTTATTACATTTTGGACTGAAAAACCAAGGAAATAAACTGAGCCAATGAGTCCTTAGAATTCTATAAAGAGTCTTAAAGAAGTGTATTTTATCAATTTTAAAGCAAATTCTACAAGTGACATCATAATATAAAAATTAGTATTCCCTTCTTATCTAGTTTTTAAAAGTTAGTTCTCTATTGTATGTGTGAAAAAGAGGGGGAAATAAGACATTTTGTAAAAGTAGGACATATTTTCACTAAATCTGCAAAGAAGTAAGTAGTGTTGTAAATATTTCTCCCCATCCTTATCTTTTTACAGTTGTGTTCCTGAAAAAATATTTTACTCTGTATCAGGTGGTTCAAACATAATGACTTCTGGTTGGGATTGTGAAATGGAATTAAAAATTTTCAAAAGATCATCGTATATTGGCACATTCAAGTTTGCAAGCATCCTTAAGAACTTAAGCAATTCCTTCCCCAACCCATTATTCCACAGTTTATTATAATAAAAGGTAACTCTCACATGAAACGATGTAAAAAAATTGGTTTTAGTTGGATTGTGCAGTAAATGAATTAAGCAAAACTTTAGCAAGAAAGAGACCTGGAAAAAGAGACTAGCTGTAATAGAAACATCTTCCACTTTATACAGGTGAGTATTAGGTAGCTATCAAATAAAACTAGTAAACTGACAGGCCTGTGTAAAAACCACAATGTTTGGGTTTATAAATTTCTAAATTTTAATTTCCAAAATCTTTAAAAAAATAAAGTTTAGAAGCACTATAAACGCAAGAAACAACGATCACTTTAGAAATAATCACAGAAAAGAGTAAAGTACTGTACTGAATATGAAGCATCAGGCTTTATGGGTAAAGAAACAGTTTTCTGGGTTAAGCCCAACATGTAGTAGTTAATTCAGGAATACAATTCTGTAGTGCCAATTGTTTTTACTTCTTGTATTGGCTTGCTAAAGTTTATTGGAAGTTTGACCACCTTTGACACTTTTATAAGAAAATTTTAACATGCTCCCTTTTCCCCTCTCCAATAATTTGCTAAATTACTAAATAACATGCATGTACACACAACTGCTTTCAAATTAGGTAAATTTTCCACAATTTTCTAAATATCCGTAAGTCATTATTTAAAAAATAATTCCCATTTTGGCTAAACTGGGAAAAGGAATGAATAACCAAAGAGTCAAGAAATTTCTGCTTCCTGTTCTCTTATTTCTCTTCTGCAGAACAGGCTACATAATTTGTGGAACTCAGCGCAAAATAAAAATTCAGGGATTCGTGTGTGAAACTAAGAATTTTGGCCAGGCGTGGTGGCTCACGCCTGTAATCCAAACACTTTGGAGGCCAAGGTGGGCAGATCACCTGAGGTCAGGAGTTCAAGACCAGCCTGACCAACATGGTGAAACCCCGAAGAAAGAAGAAAGAAGAGAGGAGAAGAGAAGAGAAGACGAAAGGAAGAAAGAGAGGAAAGAGGAAAGAAAGGAAAGAAGAAAGGA